CTCTATGTTGGCTTCTTTCCTGAAGATTTTGGGGAAAAAAATGCAGCTATAATGTACTGACTAAGATTTTACAAAATTTTAAAATATATGCCAGCCTGCTTGGTACATATTTTACCAAGGTTCATCTCATCCACTGAAGTTTCAGTCTAAAGAGAAAGGGTAGAAGAGAAAAGCAAACAGTTAAGCAGGCCTGGCTAGAGGCCTGCACAGTGCAGCATTCAAATAAGATGCATCTAAACGCCTGATATTTTTTTCCCCTCAAAACACCTCTTCATCCCATTTCCATACCTACAGATCCTCTACTGGAAAGGAATCTGTGTTTCATCATTAAATAGTACTAATGGCACTAAGAACACAAAGTTTCCATGACAGGTAGCTTTGGGTCAAAATCTCGAAGTTAAATGGCAAATGAAAAGGAAGGAAAAGAAAACAGGATGAAAATGTCCCTCAACAATTGAACCTAAAACATTGGCTGGGGATTGGGGGACTTTAGGGCTATTCGCACAGCAAGGCTTTATTCTGGATTTGGGCAGAAAATCAGTCACAAAAAAAGACTTCAATTAGCTCGAATTACTATCTTCTTTTCTCCTATTATTTTTCTCTCTTTTCTCCAATTCTATAGTTTTTTGTTTTTTGTGTTTTTTTATAAAAACCAAAGAACAAAACTTATTGCCTGCTTGCTTGGTATCCCCTCTGTCTCTACAGGCAGATCCAGAACCACAGAAGACATCTTCCAGCCAGAAGGTGGAAGCCACTGTTCCACTTCCCTCATGCTCTCCTCATCTATATGACAGCAATGGTCACCTAAGAACAGAGCTGGGACCTGCTCCTCATTCTGATGGACCAGGCTCAGCACAAAAGAGCACTGACCTGAAAAGAAGTGCTAAGCCAAGTCATTCTCCATCTGCCTCTCCACTCTGAATCTCTTTCAGCAGACAGATCTACTGATCAGGTACCAGGAATTTTCTCAGACTGCTTTAGGTCACTACAGGACATGCAGCAGAAAAGCAGAACACTAATAGAGGCATCTGCAGTGACACGGGCAGAATTACCCCTGCAGGTTCACAGGCAGCTACAACTTCTCACATAAAGCCGCATCATACATTCATTCGATGAATTATTTTCTGGGCAAAGTTTCTCTCCTGGCTGGGAACCTACCAGGGAGCAGAGAGGTCATAGCAAGAAATGAAGGATGCCTTGGAAAGAAAGATCTCATTGGAAAGCCACAGTGATGGCTTATGGGTCCTAAGCCACCTATAGAGGGGAAGGTGGGAGAGTTAGGGTTCACTTAAATATGTCATTCCCTTGGCAGTAATTTCCATACTTTAAAAAATTTTAAGTGGATGCCAAGTGAATTTAGAAAAAATGCTGAGACCTTACAATTTCTAACTATGGCTACATTTTATCTAACTTTACTAAAAGCGCCAGCAAATAGAAGTAGGCACATCCATGACATACTTCCTGACTCGCACAGTTCTCATAAGAAGTTGTTTACTGGCAGCTTCTGACTCAGGGGCAGACTGTCGGGGGGCTGGGACAGGAAAGGGGAGAGAGACAATGCCTGCTGTAAACTCTACCACACAGCACCGGCATCAGGAAAGATTTCAATAGAGCAAATAATAATCTTGAGCTAAGAAACCTTGACATAGAGCCTCTGAAATCAAGGTCTCTGGAAATTTCAGACAGGAAATGTTCTGTATTTGGTGCGACTTCTTTTGGCACAGGGTTTGAAAATCGAAATCAAATGCAGCACAGTCAGGAAACTTCTAGGCAATTTCAAATAAGTACAGTCATAATTCACCTCTAGTCAAACACTGTGAGATTTTAATAAGAGCAACAGGAAAAGTTCTAGAAGGAAAGAGCACTCCTAACTTCCATTGTTCTGCCAACACACCTCAAAAGGAATTTTTTTCTCCCACAGTTGCAAAGTGGGTGTTTGATGATCAGAACATGAGAAAAGGTAAATCATATTCTTTTTTTTTCCTGCAAAGGTGCAATTATTTAGTTCTTACATAATTCTGGATGCATGATATGCAAATGTGTGAGGGTTGTGTAGCGCAGCGGATTTGAGCTTACTCAGTCTTCCACCCAAGGACAGTACCTGGAAACCATCCATAAAGTGAGGGAAGACTCCTCTGGGCCCAGTCTCTTCTTAGCTTTGAGACGGGCTTGCCAAATATATTATGCAAATTACTTAACCTCTTTCTGTCTCCCACAGGCATCTGCAAAATGGGATGGGAGTGGCGCTTCAGAAACTATGTATGTATGCTTTGGAAACTGCATAAGACTCAGCATTGCTATAAAAGTACGTAAACTTTTCCCAATGGGCTCTACTGTCCACAAAATTTTGTACATACAAAATGTGATAACAACACCCCTCACACCCAAGTGTAAATAGGATTGTGACCCAAAACTAACACAGTGTTTAAGACTTCTTCCACTCTTAAAAGTTTTAGAATTTCATATTAAGAGGACAAACACTAGAATTTTGAGTGAACAATAACAATAAGGTGTAGGAAAGTGGTACAGGGTAGAGATTTTTCTATTTTACACCTTTTAAATTAGAAATAACGATAGACTCTTAAGAAGTTACAAAAATAGTATGGAGAGGTCCTGCATCTCCTCCCCCACCTTCCTGCAATTGTAACATCTTATGTAACTACAGAACATTCTCAAAGCCAGGAAACTGACAATGGCCCCATACTACTAACTAGATTCAGACCGCACGGGGATTAAAACAGTTGTTAAACAATTTGGATACTGCCAGAGATCATTTGAGTCATTGCATGACATTCATTCTTGGAGGTGACATGCTGTAAGGAATTTGAGCCCACTCTCATCAGACCTGTATATTTGGACAAATGATTTAATGTCACAAAGCCTCAGTTTGTTCATCTGTAAAACAGAAATAATAACATCAAGTACAGTACATTGTTATGAGGAAACATCTCATGTCTGGCACGTAGCATATATTAGGAATCTAAAATTCTCATTCCCTTTATTCCTTCATAAGTTCCCGGAGTTTTGGAGCACCCCCAGCTACCCTCAGCTAGTCAGCCTGCCTCTTGACCAGGATGGTGATTTTCTTCAAGCTAATCTTGCTTCTGACAACCAATGTCCCTGGTAAAGGACTTCCTCAAAAGATTTGAAGTGAGAAGTTTCAACTCTGGGATGGTCTTCCTTCCTCTCCTCTTAGAAGCAGCCTTTTACCAGAAAGTGACCATCTTCCTGCGGAAGCCATCCTCTGCCCAGCCTTCTAGCTGGTCTGGACTTTTTGTCCCCGTGGGCTGGTACCAAAGCTAAAGGTGGGAGTACAACTGGCCTCTCGGCCTCTGCCTTCAAAGTGAGCCCTGGAATGAGTCAGGCAGTCCAAGATTGCACAAGGTTTCCTTCTGCCTGTCTGACTACCTGCCTCCTGCGGCAGGTGTGCAACTTGCACAAATTGTAGGACTAGCCCTGAGGGTGACAATGAAGCCCGCACAGGATTCTCCATCTCCTAATTCTTACTGTGTAGCACAATGCTAACTATGTCTATTGTAAGCCAGCTGGGCAAGTGCTCCCCTCCATTTTCTTTTTGGTACAGTGCCTGCCATTAGCTTCACACTCAATTAATAAAATTGCTGCAATGATCCTCCTCCTGGCCCAGTGTTTTAGAAGCAGTGCTGGGCAGCCGAGTCCAGAGTAGATTTCCTCAGAGCATAGGTCCCCAGCATGGGCCGGAGGTCACTGCAGTGCTGCCTGAGGGGTGGGGTAGAAAGACACTCGTCCAGTTCTTCAGATGTGAGGTTAGAATGACTTCTATTAGAATCTTGGCTCTGGCACAGACCATCTGTGTGTTTGGGGACAAATTTCTTATTACTCCGTAGTCTCGATTTTCTCATCGGTGAATGGGGCTAATGATCACTACATCTTAGATACTGTGAATACAAATAAAGATTTTAAGTGTTAGACCTGAAACTTCTCTTGGTCCCATCTGTGCCTTTCTTATAAAATCTTGTTTCAACAGACCCACTCCATTCTGGGCATCCAATTATGTCTGACATCTAATCAGATCCCTCCTCCTTGACCATCCCCAGGACTTCTCACCACTTGGGCCTGCCCTCAGCAGGAAACCTTTTAGGTAGTTGAAGCCAGAACCAGCCCACGCTCCTCTCCTCTAATTATCTATCCACTGCTTCCCGCTGGCCAGCCTCCGCGGTAGAAATTCCCGCCTGCTCTAGCTATTTTTGGATTCAGCCCAATCTCTACCCACTCCTGCAGTTATCTACACCTACCACAGTAAAGTCTTCTTAATGTACATTATCAAATGCCATTGAATATATATTTTTTTCTTTAACAAAATAAAATAAAACAAAGACTGGGAAAACAAACATTCAGGGCCCCTTAATGAACAAAACTTTCCTCCCTACCCTAACCTACTGACAGCCAAGCACAGTTCAGGTTCCGCGGGTCTACCGCAGTCTATGCAGGGTTAGGGATTCCAGTCCTTAGAGCCACTTGGGAGACACAGGATGGTGACAGCATCCCTGCAGGATGGTATTGCACTGAGGAGCTGAGGAAGGTCACATCCTCCACAGGACTGCTTCTAGTGGACCACGGACACGCAGGTGACCAGGCGTGACCTGAACCCTCAGAGGTGTCCAGCTCTCGGAGCGCCACCTCTGGGCGGGCGCCACCTCTCGTGGAAGGAGCGCGGACTCGGCGACCCGGCGCTTTGGCGTGGGGGCGCGCGGGAGCGAGGGGCGTGGCGGGTCCTGGGCTCGGCGGCCGCCAGGTGGCACCAGGGGCCGCGAGGCGCTCTCTTGGGCCGGCGCGGGGCAGGAAGGGGTTAAGCCGCCGCGAGCCCCGCGCTCCTCGGGGAAGCC